GTGAATCAGCATGCCCAGCTTGAATTATGTGTTACTTTATTTTTATATTTATCAGTACATTCAATTTTTTTTTGTACACAGACTTGAACTCATGGCATTGCACTTCTTAGGCAGGCATGGTGCTACAGAACCATTTGAAATTCTTAATTGGCGTATTTCAAAGTATAGTTCAAGTATCATATGACTTTATGCATGAAATCTAACAAGCTATACAACACATAAAGTCTACTGTAGCATACACTAACTAATGAATATAGGAAACACAGCCATAATACCATCACAGTGCCTACAAAAATTTAGTTATTCTCTAACGCGACGTGAAAGCAGACATGCCCAGTTCCCCTGTTCAAACTAAATATAATGCAGGTATTAAAGTTCTGCATTAGGAGCTAAAATGTATACAGAGCATTGATTTTCATATCTCCTATTCTTTTGTTAATCCATCAAACTCCCCCTTATGTTCACCATCATTCCTTTGATGAGAGAATGGACTAATATTTGTCCTAGAAATATTCACATTCTACATTACACCATATGCATCCTTGTGCAAAACATGTTCCTTAGTCAACAGAATATCTTCTACTCTGATCCCTGGATCTACTTAAATTCAGGAATACTTTTTGGCAAGAACATTCATACTTGATGTTCTGTCCTCTGTATTATATCAGAAATCACAAATGTGTTTTTTACACATATATGTAAAGATGGATCTGTGAGTTATAGTCAGACCCTGATTTGCCCACATTGTGAAATTTCTTATCAATATTTAACACAAATTTTTTAAATTCATGGGCTAGTTGCTATTTTTATATTGATATGCAACTCACATACCATATAAAACATATAAATCACTGTTTTTGTCACATTCACAAAATTTTGAATCCATTACCACAAATGATTTTATTTTTAAGTGCTTGTATTAGTGTATGTTTACAGTACATGATGTTTACATTTATCTTTGGGAGTAGGTACTTAATATATCTTGATTCTTTTATTCCCCTTGTCCTCCCCATCCTTCTCCCTCCCTCAATCTCTAGATTCCCTTCCCCAGTTTTCATTCATTATTATTATAATTATTTTTAGTTCATGTTTGGGACATGTAATGACTACATTCGTTTTGGGTTCTTGGTACATGTACATGACACATTTTAAATCATTTTACGTATTTTTCCCCTTCCTGCTTCCCCCACCCTGTCTCTTGGCCCCCACCCCATTTTCAAAACATCTATCACCCTGTTCCCTTTTGGCAATCAATTATTTTGCTCTTTATTTGTACTTTGGTTTCTCATATGAGACAAAACATGGTATTTAAGCTTCTGCGTTTGATTTACTTCACTTAAATTTTTTTCAAGTTGTATCCATTTTCTATAAATGTCTCTGATTTATTCCTCGAGTGATGTCGAGTAGTTTTTCCTGTGCAGAAAGAGCTATGGTTTTGCAGCCCGGAATACCTGCACATATCAATCTAAAACAACTCCCCTTGGAAAAGCCATTTAGCCTCCCTGGTTTCCTGGCACAATGAGTCTTTACTGTCTGTCTGTGTCTGTCTAGGAATTGAGACAGAAAACCCACTTTGCCTTGATTCCCTGCATGGGAGAATGGCCTCTACTCTGTACAAGGAATGAGGACCAAAGCAGGGAGGAATCCAGAGAGGGGCAGCTGGGGTCCAGAGCCCAGGCCTTTGTGAGATAATTCAGCCTGGGAGGAGCTGGAGGCTCCTTGTCTGTGTCCCACTTCCTGCCAGGTGAATTCATTGGGAGCGCTCAGTGCTCCCCTAAAGAGCCTTTCATCAGGAGGAGGCAGCTGGGGTGTGTTTGAACCTGAAAGGCAAAAGGGGAGCAGCCAGGCTGGGAGAAAGCATCAGGTGAACCTATTCATTCCCCCGTGTCTTCCCTGATAATCCCCATCCACCTCTGCCCAAAGAGACAGGGAGGAAGTGAGAAAGCCAGGTTGGGGTAGCGGGCAGCAGGTGGTCCTGGAGCAGCTGAGGTGGTGAAGGCCAGCAGGGGAGGTGAAAGGAGGGTGGAGACAGGAAAGCAGGAGGAGAGAGAGGCAGAGGGTACCCAGTTGTGCTGCCTGGAGGTGCAGGATTTCTTTTGAATGAGTTTATTTCAAGGGAGTTTACACAGGATAGTGGATCTGGGCAAGGTGACTTCATTTCTCACTGGAAACATGTGAAGTTGTTGTTGGGTTATTTTTCTTTCTTTTGCTTGGTGGTACTGGGGATTGAATCCAGGACTCCACACTGCCTTACATCCCCAGCCCCTTATTATTACTATCATCGT